TGAAGGTTCTCTAAGAAAATCATCTGGTAAACAGAGATTAGTGAAGAAAAGGCATAACAAATTTTATTATATTATAGTTTTATATGAAAGGGGAGTCTTCAGAGTGAAGACCCCAAAATATAGGGAAAATGGACTATATTTATGCTTAGGGTCTATGAAGCAGGAAAACCCATGTAGAAATGTGATTGGACAAGAAAAGTATCATCTAATGCTAACAGAACGAGTGGGGAAACCAGCAAGAACTGTCTGTTCAGATTCTTCTTGGACTCTGTGTAGCATTCATTCCTCCAGGGTATGGGGCAGGACACTTTCTGGAATGCAGGTCACATGATCTACAATCAGTTAAGGTAGGTCAGGCAATTTCTTTATGGCCAGCTCCAAGACAGAAAGGCAAGGGGAGAAGATTAGAGTATATATGACCTGCCTTGAGGAAGAGAGATTCTAGTCTCTATGGCTTGTCTCAGGATAGAAAGAGGCTGAGGGACAAGAGGGCAGGAGAAAGTCAGAGGAAAACTTTGCTTTTGAGGCTGTTTCTGAGGCCTTCCTTCACTTTGGGGTGTTGCTTTCGGGGCCCCAACAGACCCTTAAGAGAATCGGAAGATATGACAGTTTTGTGACAATGTCTGGGTTTGGTGCTGACTTCTCATCTCTGAGATTAGAGTTGCTCCTGTGGAGGGGATTTATAACAACTGAGTTAAACTTCTGAGGTATTTTGGGAGGCTCTGCTGTTAGACAGATAAAGGATTTCAGGAACTCAAATGCCTTCAGCTCAAAATAATTCTTATACCCAAAGTGGCATATTTGGGGTAGCATATCTTGATCCCCTTCAAAAGGGAAGTACACAGACACTCTGTCACAGATTCCGTTCCCTCTGACACCAGAAATTATCACTTCTGCAAGCCTTGGCTTGTGGTTATCTCATCATGTTGCAATTTGGTATGTCTTTCTTTCCTACTAGTGTTTAAATGCAGTCAAATGCAGGAACTGTTCATTCTATAAACAATTATTGAGGTTATACTGGACACTGAACTACATGTCAGTTTACAAAGAATAAACAAAAATCACTGCCAGTAAGGAACACAGGCTGGGGTCGACAAGGGGTCGGGGCAGGGGCGGGGGGCGACCAAGATGAAAAGGACCTTAGCCAGAAAACGGACATCTTTGGAGTAACTAAGACCAAGCAGAAAATTTCAGTTAGCCATTAACTGAGGCACTGATGATCATCAATTCGTTGAGGTTAGCAGAGGAATTGAGAAAATGATTGTATGGCTGAAACTGCCCAGAGATGAAATCACACCCCGAAAGGATCCTCTCAAAAGTTTATTTCTGTTTTTCTCCCATTACACCCTCTTACGTTGATTTACTTTAGAGGTTGTGCACCTACAATTAGGAATTGAAACTAAGTTTTCCTGTTTTTCTTGCCTTTCCTAATCAACTGCAAACAAGGGAATTCCAAGAGAAAGGCAAAGCACCCTAGCTGACTATTAACTCACCTTCTTGCTTAAAGAAAAATTGCATCCACATTAGAGATACACTTTTATGTTCCAGTGATGCTTGACGAAGGTTATGGTCTTTGAGCTCTCCCTAGGTGATAAGGACTCTGACCCTGAAATAACATCAAGGGTTTGAAGCTGACCAGTCCATCAACTGCAGACTCCATGACGATAAAGCCCCCAGTCCATCATGGGACCCTGGTATCTGACTCAGACCCTCTGCTGATCCCGCTACCAGCCTCCTCTCCCTTTGCCTACAGGACAAAACCCTCACCTCATCTTCCCACCTCTTCCCCTTTATAACCCCCAGAACAGTCATCAGAAGGCAGGATCATTTTAGCCTGGTTATCCCCCAGATGCTGGTTGGTTATCCAAATAAAGCTTCCAATCCTTGCACGAAGTTTTGAACTTTCGGATTTTTTTTTTTTTTTTTTTAAAGATGACCGGTAAGGGGATCTTAACCCTTGACTTGGTGTTGTCAGCACCACGCTCACCCAGTGAGCCAACCGGCCATCCCTATATGGGATCCGAACCCGTGGCCTTGGTGTTATCAGCACCGCACTCTCCCGAGTGAGCCATGGGCCAGCCCCTCGGATCATCTTTTTAATGCAAAAGGGCAAGCCGAACCTGTTGCCAGAAACAAAGATGCCAAAAGATGTAAAATAATGTGATAGACTCTACAAGAGTTGCTAAAGGGTCAGAAAAGAGTAAATATGTTCCTCTGCCCGGAAGCAACTCAACAAGAGGAAGAGATGTATTGTGAATTATCAGGCGTGTAGATGCAGTGATGCATAGTGGCACCATTCAGTGAGCAGACAAGAGAACCAGGTTTCTGGGGAGAGGAGGGAGAGAATCCCCTCACTGCCCCTCCATGAGTCACAACTTGGAGATGTTGGTTTAAACATTTGGATTTTTGTAGATTTTGAGCTTTGAGTTTAAAATAACTAAAGAAACACCAGGTGGAGGTAGACGTCTGGAGCCTAGAAGTCTAGATAGATATAGATTCGGGATTCATCAGCATATATAAGGTAGTTAGAGCCAAGGGAGAGATGAAACAGTGCACATAAGATATTTTTTTTAATAATAAATATTTTTTACGAAAGAAAACACAATTATTTCTGATGCAGAAACCAGAACATTTTCTCATGGATTCTCTTACAAAGGGCCCTGGTAACGTAACGAACTTTCTAACAGTAAGGACCCCAGTCAATGACACAGGGCAGTTTCTCCCAGTATGGAGCAGATGCCCTCTTGCAAAATCCAATTCAGCAAATTTTACTAGCTCCAAATGGGATCTCAGCGGGGACACAATTGGGGCATTGAATCCCGGCTGAAAACAAGGGCGGTCTTAGAGGATCTGTAGAAACGGGTGTACAGAATATCCCTCAGTCTTCTGTATACCTTGTTTCTTGACGCAGAGCTTTGGGTGCATTTAGTACGTTGGGATGCACTGACGTCCGTGGGAAGGCTTGGCGATATACCAAGTCCAGTTCTTCTAGAATCTTGTTTTTCCTAGGTAAACTAAAATGACGTGCCTCGTAACAACAAAACAGAGCTACATACAGGAATGATGGCGAACTTGCCCCCTTCTCTCCCCTGTCCACACACGTACCCCAAGAGTAGCTGCTCTTGAGGTCGCCTCACGAGTGTCAGCCTAATCAGCGAACTGCTTCGGTGTGCTGTGTGTGACCGTGCTCAGAAGCCACCGCTCGGACCCCTCGTCGGGTTGGCGCCGGCGGCCTCTCCTCTTCGCCTCAGTGCTTCGGGAACCCACAGACGGAGAGACGGAAGCGAAAACGACCGCGGAACCTGGAAGCTTTGTGTTGGGATCTGAATTAGGACGGGGACTAGGGCACATCGATATTTTAAGCAAGAAAGGGGAAAAAAAAGAGAGAGGAGGAGGGACAGGAAAACAGAAATGACGAAATGCCGAGAGGCGGGCACAATTTGCATCGCTTCCCGCCCGCGCGCTTTCGGTTTTCAATCTGGTCCGGTGCTCTCGTATATCAGGGGGAAAGTCGCTCTCCCGGCGTCAGAGACTGTCTTCTCAGGCTACACTAACCATGTCCGGGAGGGGGAAAGGCGGAAAAGGCTTAGGCAAAGGCGGCGCTAAGCGCCACCGCAAGGTCCTGAGAGATAACATCCAAGGCATCACCAAGCCCGCAATCCGGCGTCTCGCTCGGCGCGGAGGTGTCAAGCGGATCTCAGGTCTCATTTATGAGGAGACCCGGGGTGTGCTGAAGGTGTTCCTGGAGAACGTCATTCGGGACGCAGTCACCTACACGGAGCACGCCAAGCGCAAGACCGTCACCGCCATGGACGTGGTGTACGCGCTCAAGCGCCAAGGACGCACCCTGTACGGCTTCGGAGGCTAAGCCGCCGCTTCAGCTCTGCCTGTCTTGACCCCAAAGGCCCTTTTTAGGGCCAACCATATAGTCATCAAAGGAGCTGGGCACTCAATGGTGTGGGGTGGAACAGCAACAATACCGGAAGGTAACTTTGCATTTGGTAGTCGGGGTCGACGTTTACGGGAGGTACCGGTTCTCGGAGTGCTAACGACCCTGAAGGCTTAGCTTTTCTGCCAAGAGCGGCCTTTTACTGGTCGGCCTCAACTTCTACCGCTTACGGGTCGGAAAGGGCAGCGTGCTCCAGGTTAAAGTACTACTTTCTCGGTTTGCTTTTGTTGGGCAGAAAAGATTCACGGCGCGGGGGTGAGGGCGCTATTCTCGTTTGTGATCGCTAGTTTGGCTATGGGAAGTAGAAACCAGCGATCTAAACACAAGGTAAGGTCTAGTCACATCCTCACTATGTAGGTTCAAGACATTTTCTCAGGCAAAGTGGGAAAGCAGCCCTAGATTTGCAGCCTAGAGATGCCAGTTCTGCCACCTGATCTGTTTGAGCTTAGTCAGCTAATTAACCTTTTCGTGCTTCATTTTCCACCTCTACAATGAGGGGATGGACTAGATGCCTTAAGGGCCAGTTCCTACTAGATGGTGTTTTGTGACATTGTGTATTCTCATTAATAAGGGTGTGAAGGAGCTTGCAAAATCAAATCCAATCACCAACCATTCAAAACCAAATAGGGGTTATTAGATCAGAGATGGGTTCATTGGTATAGCTTTAAAATAAATGTTTCTGACAAGTTATCTGGCCAGTGAATGAAAAATATTCTTGGTTTCCTGTTTTCAATAAAATGGCCCCTCAGAATTTAGTCAACGACCTATGATATACTCTCTCACTTGAGGTATTGCAAAAACAGATGCAGGAACATCTTAATGTGACCCTTCTATAAAAGCAGAGCAAATTATATAATCTTAACAGTGAAAGCAAGTCTTCAAGAAAGATGATTCTGGTATGTGATTTTTACCTGTTAGAGCCTGTTGTAGTTTAGAATAAGACCTGCAGGAACATACCCACCATCAATACAGAGAGCACAGTTTAATTTTGACGAGGCGAAATCAAATTATTCTCCTGTATCATCGCAGCAAACAATAGAGCAAGCCATTCTCTGTACTACCACTTCTAAACTGCCCTGATTTGGATTGAAATGTGGTAGGTTCACTTTTAATCTTTAAGCTTAATCACAGTTTTGCAGCTATTAAATTTGTGTGTGAAAGGGTTTTGGGGGGGGGTTGTTTGTTTGTTTGTTTGGTTTTGTCTTTTGGGTTTTTTGGTTTTGTTTTGTTTTTGCATTCTAGACTTATGACTTTACAGCAAATTTTGGCTGTGTATGTAGCTGAGGGAAGAAACGCTCTGTCAGCTCCCAAAAAATAGACCAGCTATTTCTTTACTGGTCTTCACATTTGGGCTGCTCTCATCAGTATCAAACACTTGAGGGTAAACTAGATTTAAAACATGATGTTTAGCAACAGAGATGCCAGCAAGGGATGCAAGACTTACCCTTCAGGAGCTTAATATCAGAATGAGGAAGAAAAATAAGTACATAATACATACATATGTGTATACATATATACACAAATGACCCAATAATACAAGGTAGCACATATTCAATATGATAAGACAATATGTAAAATAATTACTATAGGAATCCTAACACTACAGAAATCACTAGCTGCCGGGAAATTGGGGAAAGCTTGGCCATGAAGGTGGGACTGTGTCAGGCTTGGAAGAAAGAATGCCTAGCATCCTACAGAGATACATAGTAAGGAGGGGAAGGAGGGAGAGACAGGAAGGGAGTGGCAAGAATAACATTTGTGAAGATGTGCAGGTGAGAAATAAAGGAGAGGCTTCAATGCTCAAGATGTTTCATTTGCTCTTTAAAAATCTCACTTACAAACTTATAGCATTTCTAATTCAAATATTACTGTGATTTTTTAAAAAACTGTAAAGACAATGCAGATGAATATATCTAAATCCTCACTGAGATACTCTGAAGAAGCAAATATGAAAAGTTTGAAGAAAAGGCTGGCTGGTTAACTCGTTTGGTTAGAGCTCGGTGCTGATAACACCAAGGACTAGAGTTCAGATCCCCTTGCCAGCTAGCCACAAAAAGGGAGGGAAAAAAGCTTGAAGAAAAATCAAATAAATACTGTAAAGGGAGGGGGGGTGGAAAACATATCCATAGTCTAAATTAGTGGTTCACAAAGTTATGGTCTCTAATCTAGCAGCATAAATCACCTGGAACTTGTTAGAAATATGATGATACTTCGAAAAGTTCACGGAATGACTCATATTATCTTTCAACTCTACTTCACCCCAAACTTCTTGAAGTATCCTTATACAAATTCTTTGGCCCCACCCCAGACCTATTGAATGAGAAACTCTGGGGGGTGAGACCTAGCAATTTTTGCTTTAACAAGCCTTCCAGGTGATTCTGATATACATTATAATTTGAGAACCACTGATCTAAGTAATAATTTTTTGTTACACTTCTCACTGTGTAAGAGAGATGAAAAAAGGATTACTAAAAGCACCATGAATGTGATGAGAAGCCCAAAGTGTCTGTACCCCAGCAACTCCCCTGTTAGAAAAAACTGGGTATAGCCCTGATTCAAAGTTAGCTTCTGTTTTTTATTGTAAAGACAAGGAAGTTTCACAAGAAAACTCAGTTGATTCAATCATTACAAAAGGACACAGGACATGGGCAGTGTTAACAAAAGTTACTATGGCTAAATATAGCTTAAAAAATAAACTAGTAACATCAGTAAAATTAACAATGTGACATTCCAAAGTACAATTTGTGAAAAGCTAAGTTGGTCAAACTGGCTCATTATCTAAAGTATAACCTCTCCTTAAGCATAAGTTGCATTCGTATGATAAAATTTAAGTATAATTACCTAAAGTTTCCACCAACAGATACCTTGCCCTTAGCAAACATTTTTTCACATCTTTCCCTTCAGCAATTCTTAAAATCTCTTAACAGGATCGTTATGACAACCACCTGTTAGCTCTAAAATCATTGAAGTATACAATCCCATACCTAAGCAGTGATTAGAGTTGATTAGATGGGCTGTTGCCCCCTGGCTGTAGGCTGTGGCCTCCTACCCAAGGGCTTTTGCCCCATATATGTATTTACCTAAAAACCCTATTCTAAAAATCAAATCAGAATCAACATTATTTAAATAGAATTGATTAGATGGGCTGTCGCCCTCTATCTGTAGACTGTGATCTCCTACCCGAGGGCTTTTGCCCCATACATGTATTTATCTAAAAACCCTATTCTAAAATCAAATGAGAATCAAGATTTCTAAACCTCCACAGTTTTTCTTTAAATGAAACAAAAGTATTTAGAATCTGAATATTTGTTGCTCCAATTTGTTTACCATAATGTTAAAGTTTGCTTTCTTTGATGGAAAAGAAAGCAAGTGGATGATCCTAATAAATTTTATGTAGTAAAAAATATAGGAGGGAAAAGGTAGAATAGACTTATTTCCTCAAAGCACTTGGGGCAAACATAAAAGATGAATGAAAAATGAAGTCAGCTTGTTTAACTAAATATTACTGGTTTGTACTTTTAATAATATCGAATTTTGTAATCAATGAATGTGTTTTCTTTTTTCCTTCTAAATTCTCCAAGATTCAGTCCTTTTACCATTATATATCTCTACACTTCTTTAAAGTGATTTTTTTTTCCTTTTTGTCTTTTTTCGTGACCAGTAACGGGATCGCAACCCTCAGTGTCGCGTCCGTACCGTGACTGGCAACGGGATCGCAACCCTCAGTGTCGCGTCCGTACCGCGACCGGCAACGGGATCGCAACCCTCAGTGTCGCGTCCGTACCGCGACCGGCAACGGGATCGCAACCCTCAGTGTCACGCCCGCATCGCGCTCAACCAGTGAGCGGACCGGTCTCTATATGGGATCCGAACCCTCGGCAGGAGCGCCGCCACACTCCCAAGCGCCGCACTCTACCGTGTGCGCCACCAGGCCGGCCCTTTAAAGTGATTTTTAAAGTGACCCTTGCTCTCACCTTGTCTATTCCACTAAATACTATTATGATATGGTATGGCTGAATCCTCTGTTAGCAGTGTTCAGCCTCTGAATATTACCAAGTTATAGAAGATGCAGTTATGCATCATTTTGCATGAATAAATGCCTTTTTTTCCTAGCTAGCTTAACCACCTGTAACAGTGAGGAATATAATCTATTTTATCTTTTTGCTTTGCTAACAAAATGATTTTTTTCTCATTTCCACCCGAGTGGTTCAAGTGCTGTTCATGAGCCAGCCTCTGGCTGCCAGCTCTTTCCCTCCCTGGGTGAATTCAGGACTTCCTCTAGACTATATACAAGTGGTTATACAGTCTAGTCTGTGTATCTACTTCCATTAACCATGGACATAGAGGCATTTGAGTGTCCCACTGGCTAATCGAACTTCGCTATGGACCAGTTTGAACTCTTCCTTTCCCTTCCCGGCTCCCTACTTCTCTGACTAGCATTGTCCTCCCAGACCCAGGCTGGATGCTCCCTTCACCCAGGCTAGATGCCATCTTTCACTACATTCTTATTTTCTTCCTTTGAAACTTTTCACTCTGTACTTTATATTCTAGCTGTTGATATACATGATATTTCTCTACTTGAGCCAGAAGAACTGAAACATCATTACTGCAGAATGTATAGTATATATAAATATGTATGAATGTATAGAGAATTATCAGGAAAAATGTTCACAACAATTTAAGAATGATTTGTAGGTGCTGGTTTTTGTTATCTTTATTGAACATTTCTGACTTGTTTGAATTTCTTAAAATAAGCAAGAATTTAATTTCCCTGGAAACAATCAGAAGATACATAGATGATAGATAGATAATCTCATCTATATGAGCCGTGGCAAATCCCAGTTTTGCCAAAGCTAAATTTCCTCATCTTTGGTGTTGCTGAAAATCCCTGCCTTTCTCACAAGAATATTTGAAGGATCAAATGAAAAGATCTATGTGACAAGATCAAGAGTTCAGATCCCCATACTGGCCAGCCACCAAAAACAAAACAAATGAAAATGAAAAGATCTATGTGAAAGAAGATTTGAGGCCATAAA